CTGCTGAGTGTTTTTTTTAATTTTCTGTTTGTTTCAGATTTCCAGCAGAATTTTTTCTTCTATTCAAGCAGTAAATACTAAGTCAGTTGTTAATTTTCCTTCCAATATTGAGAGATCTCTGTTATCCAAAAGGATGTTGGGCAGGGTGTTGGAGTTAGATAGCAGGAGACCAGCCTGAGGATCTAATTTATCTACTCCTGTGTTCCCATGACCCTTGACTACTGTATGGCAAAGTTTCCCAAGTTATTCCACGGTTATCCCAAGCATGTTAACTGCTCATTTAAAAGAAACATCCCTGAAGTCATCTACAAATTTGTTCTGTCATCTTATTCAATTAAAGGAATAGACCAAGAGATATTGAGACTTCGACCAGAAAAAAGGAGGAAGCATAGCTCAGCTACAGGCAGCTGGGATCAAGGGAATCCCTGGAGGTATATAGGGGATACAGGAGTTTACTGAAGAAGGATATCAGGAGGGTGAAAAAGGTGCAGAAGATAACTTTGGCTGAGAAGATTAGTGTGAATCCAAAGAGATCCTTTAAATATATTAAAGGAAAAAGAATAACTAGAGAGAGAATAGGACCCCTCAAGAACCAAAGTGGACATGTATGTGTGGAACCACAGGAGATGGGCAAGGTCCTCAACAAATATTTCTCCTCTGTTTTTACTGTGAAGAAAGATATGAAGACTTGGGAACTTGGGAAAGTTGAGTGGCGATATCTTGGGGACAGTCCGTATCACTGCAGAGGAGGTGTTGGAAGTATTAGAATGTATGAAGGTGGATAAATCTCCTGGTCCTGACCAGACATATCCAAAAACCCTGCAAGAGGCTAGAGAGGAAGTTGCGGGGGCTCTGGCTGAGATATTTGCATCATCACTAACCACGGGTGAGTCCCGGAAGACTGAAGGGTAGCGAATGTTGTGCCCTTATTCAAGAAAGTCTGCAAAGAAAAACCTGGGAATTATAGACCAGTGAGCTTAACATCTGTGGTAGGTAAATTAATTGAGAAAATTCTGAGGGATAAGATACACACGCATTTGGAAAAACAAGATTTGATTAGGAGTAGTCAGCAAGGCTTCATGCATGGGAGGTCATGCCTCACAAATTTGTTCTTTGATGAAGTGACCAGGAAGGTTGATGAGGGCAGGGCGGTAGACCTCGTCTGTATGGATTTCAGTAAGGCCTTTGATAAGGTTTCATGTGGTAGGCTGCTCTGGAAGATTAGATCACATGGAATCCAGGGAGAGCTGGTGAATTGGATACATAATCGGCTTGATGGTAGAAAGCAGAGCATAATACTGGAAGGATGCTTGTCTGACTGGAGACCTGTGACTAGTGGTGTGCCTCAGGGGTTGGTGCTGGGCCCATTGCTGTTTGTTATCCAAATCAATGATTTGGATGAGAATGTACAAAATATGATTAGTATGTTTGCGGATGACACTAAAATAGGCAGTATTGTGGACAGTGTGGAAGGTCATCAGAAATTGCAGCAGGATCTTGATCGGCTGGGGAAGTGGGCCGAGAAATGGCAAACGGAGTTTAATATTAGACAAGTGTGAGGTATTGCATTTTGGAAAGTCAAATCAAGGTAGGAGTTTCATAGTGAATGGTAGGGCCTTAAGGAGTGTAGTGGAACAGAGGGACCTTGGAGTTCAGATGCACGGTTCTCTGAAAGTGGAGTCACAAGTAGACAGGGCAGTGAGGCAGGCTTTTGGCACATTGGCCTTCATCAGTCAGGGCATTGAGTATTGAAGTTGGGAAGTTATGATGGAGTTGCACAGGACGTTGCTGAGGCCACACTTGGAGTATTAGTTTTGGTCACCTTGCTGTAGGAAGGATGTTATTAAACTGGAAAGAGTGCAGAAGAAATTTATAAGGATGTTGCCAGGACTCAAGGAACTGAGTTATAGGGAGAGGTTAGACAAGCTAGGACTTTTTTCTTTAGAGCATAGGAGATTGATGGGGTATCATAGAAATGTATAAGATCATGAGAGATGTAGGTAGGGTGAATGCATTTAGTCTTTTTCCCAGGTTTGGGGAATCAAGGACTAGAGGGCATCAGTTTAAGGTTAGAGGGGAAAGAATACATGAGAACCTGAGAGGCAACATTTTTACGCAGGGTGATACACATATGGAATGAGCTGCCAGCGGAAGTGATTGAGGTGGGAACATTAACAACATTTAAAGGGCATTTGGACAAATACATGGATAGGAAAGGTTTAGAGGGATATGGGCCAGGTGCAGGGAAATGGGGTTGGTGTGGATGGACATTTGGGTAGTCATGGATCAGTTTGGGCCGAAGGGCTTGTCTCTGTGCTGTAGGACTCTAAGACCAGCCACAGAAAAGAAATTGTGGATGCACGAGCAGGTGGGAGGCTGGGAATTCTGTGGCAAGTAATTTGTTTTCCAACTTCTTAAAGTCTGCCTGCCATCTATGAGGCAGCAGTCAGGAATGCGATGGATACTCTCCACTTCACTGGATGAGTGCAGCTTCAAAAACACTCAAAAAGCTCAACACTGTTCAGGACAAAGCAACTCACTCGATTGGCACCAAATTCACCACCTTAAACATTCACCACCTTCACTGTTTATGCACAGTGGCAGTAATGTGTATCAGCTACAATTTATAATGCCCCTTTCAATAGCATGTTGCATGTAAATGAACAAGGGCAGTAGATACATGGGAACACCACCACCTTCAAGTTCCCCTCCAAGATGGCATCGACACTGGGTGACTCTTTGCGAGCTCTCTACAGCAGATCTTATTCACATATTTCTTACAGCCTTTCTGCACTTCTAAACCTCAACTCTAAGTCTGTAAAAATTATGCCTCGCTCTGTCTAAACACCCTATGATCTGTATGTCCTTGTATGTAATGATCTGCCTGTACTGCATGCAAAACAAAACTTTTCATTGTACTTTGGTACATGTGACAACAATAAATCAAATCAAGCCATTTAACATCCTGACTAGGAAAACTTTTCCTCCAGTGTCACTGGGTCAAAATCCTGGAACTCTTGCCCAAATAGCATTGTGGGGTGTACCTATGCCAAATTGACTGCAGCAGTTCCAGAAGGCACTTCACCACCACCTCCAGGGCAACTAGGGATGGGCAACAAATACTGGCCTAACCAGTGATGCACACTTCCTATGCTTAAACTTTCTAACGTGTAATTTATAGGGTAGAGTGTTTCTATTCTGTTGACGATCTTCTGTACCTCCAACAAACCATTGCTTAGGCATAGTATTCTTTCAAAAAGTTAAAATAGTTTAGGGTTGTCAGGAAATAAAGGTTAACCTCCTTGGTGCTACAGAAAGCTCATGAGAGCAAAAAAAAATTATAGATTGGTTTATGTTCACTTCTTTGATTACTTTTGCCTTGATTAGTTACAAAATTTTTATTCGTTTGTGGGATGAGGGCGTTGCTGGGTAGGCCAGCGTTTATTGTCCATCCCCAATTACCCAGTGGGCAGTTTAGAGTCAAATGCATTGCTGTGGACCTGGAGTCACATATAGGCCAGACCAGGTAAGGATGGCAGTTTCCTTCCCTAAAGGACATTAGTGAGCCAGATGGATTTTTCTTGACAATCGGCAATGGATTCATGGTCATCATTAGACTTTTAATTCCAGATATTTATTGAATTCAAATTCAATCTGCCATGGCAGCATTCAAACCCGGTCCCCAGAATATCACCTGGGTCATTAGATTAACAGTCCAGCGATAATACCACTAGGCCATCACCTCCCTTCATAATAATAGAGGTGGTAGTATAGTGGCTGTTTGACTGGTTGGGGAAGGTTGAATTTGGAGGCCATGTTGTTGCGATCCCCAGGAATATGTTCGGCCGAAGTCGGTAACATTAAGTGGTGCATAAATTCTCAATAGGCCCCTCAGCAGTAGTCTATGAAGGGGACCAATGAATCATGAAGGGTATCCAATCAATCACTGTTAATGAATGCAGCAGTGTTACTTTACAGTCCACCAACTGCTCAACCAGTGAGTTCACACACAGAGTTGGTGGCCCCATTCCCTAACAGTGGCTGATATGGAGGAGGTATTACAGCAGGAGATTCCAGCTGTACTGAGGATAAGAGGCAGGAACCTTCCTTTAAGAGTGTGCCTGAGGAAGGAGCTCAGAGCCACGTATAATCCCAAACTGGGTTATAGCGGGGAGAAAGGTTAGCACCATGCTGGACCAAGCCAGAAGTAAATATCAAGTGAGAGTCCCCTTCATCATCAGCAATAAAAGCAGCTTGTTCAAGCGATCATTCCTCATTATGCCTTGTGTCAACAGGAGGTGAATCTTGGGGGAATTCATTTGAATATAAGAGGAGCTCTTTTTTATTTACTGTGCTGTGAAAGTTTTGTTTTGAATCACAGATGCTCTGAGCCTGTAGTAGCTTTCATTCCCTCTTTGCATTTCTTCATTCACTCCTGTGGTCACTAAGTAAATGTCAGGTGAGTCTGGTTTTCTGCTAAGTCCTGTATACTTGCATGAGCAGCTGGTGCACTGAGACAAGGTGACCAGGACCCTGGAAAATAAGTTTGTATGCGATTGACTCCTTTTGTTAAGTGCTGCCACGTTTGAAATCTCCCTTCAAGCGAAGGTTCGGACTGGTATTTAAACTCTGTTAGCTGTCCCCTCAAGCCAATGCAGTTTAGCAGATTCTGCCTTTGAGGAAGGGAACTCATGTTACACATCTTTGCTGGATGAAATAGCTTGTTTGCTCGTGTGTTGCTTACAGACTTAACCAATACTTCTGAATGCACTGTCATATTCAACTGTGCCGGACTAATTTGCAGAATAGAGGCATTTTAACAAACACAGTAAGATTATGCCCAAATATGCCTCAGGAATAGGGTGCTTTATTTGGATAAGTGTCCCCGACATTCAATGTAGCAATTTTAGTTTACACAGAAACAACTTGGGAATCATCTTTCAGCTGATACTTTACTGAATCACTTTTTAATTTTTCTCTCATATTTCTGCACCTTCTAGCGCGCAAACAGGATATCATCAAGATCACTGAACAGCTCATTGAAGCCATCAACAATGGAGATTTTGAAGCTTACACGTAAGTTCGGGGAAGCAGAATGGACCCTGGTTTTTACAGTTGGCTTTCTGAGCAAAATGGGATCACTAGCTGGGCGCTGGATGGAGTGGGGTGGGCATTGGTTTATAATGTTGCTGCTCTTTGTATTATTATTTTATGGGAATGGGGCATCGCTGTCCGGGTCAACATTTGTTGACAATTTCCATTGCCCAAAGAGCTATTAAGAGTCAAACCCGAATCCTAACCCTATTGCATTCCTGGGATCGGGAGTCACATGTAGGCCAAACCAGGTAAGGACAGCAGATTTTCTTCCTTGTAATGCGTTAGTGAACTAAATGAGCGTTTACAACAAATAACAATAGTTACACAGGCACCATGCAGCTATTCTTTAATTCCAGTTTTGTATTGATTTTAAAATTCATTATCAGCCGCGGTGGGATTTGAACCATTTCTACCAGAATTTTATCTGGATCTGGATTACTAGACCTGTGATATTGCTACTATGCCGACACCTCCCACTGGGCTAGTGTGCCAATATCGGCAGGTACTTTAATGTTTGAGGGATTGTGGGGTTGGAAGAGAAACCCACAGGCAATTTCAGATCAAGCAAAATGTTATCCCCATTTGTGGCATCAAATTACAATTTGTCACCTCAAACTCAAGCTGAGAATTCAAAATAAGATTGATTGTAACTTCACATTTAAGGTAAATTGAGGGTGGGTGCAGCATTTCAGCCACCAGTTACTGAAAAGTTCTAACAGAGTTCCTGAGGAGTCGGTCAGAGACTGAACTGGCATTGAGTCCATCCCTTGGGGTTTTATTTTCCTTGCCTTCACATTTCACTGATTGGAATTCATTTCAGTTTCATTGTCGTCAGTCCAGCTTGATGAACTGCTTTGTTGTAATAGACTGTGCAAAGGTCGGAGATATTCTGCCAAAATGCTTGACTTTTCAGTGAAGCAAAGCTTATAACCAGTGGAAATGAAAATACTTGGAGGCAAACTGAAGATGGAATCTGTGAACAGTTGAGGGGGATAAATAGGACATTTTGTTTCGGTTATCGATGAAGTATAAGGAAGGTATCAATGGGGTAAAGGAATTTCTAAAATGTGTATGGGACTCTTTCCTTCAGCAGCTGATTAACCTATAGGATAGAGGAAGGCGTTACTAGAATTGGTGATGGATAACAGTAGATCAGGGCGGATGAGTTAAATGCACCAAGGCAACAGCAATCATAATGTGGGGGGTTAGAAATTCCAAATTAAGCAGCAGAATGTTACTCAAAGGGAAGGCACCAGATTGGATTTGGGGCATTTTTGGAAAAGCAGTGAGTTAACTCACTGTTGAAAGATAAAAGCAGGAATTAACGCACAGGATTGGGAACAGTATAGAATTAGGGGAAGGATAATACAGTAAATTACAAACTGATGAGAAGGAAGGGAATATAAATACCAATGTCTCCGGGTTGATGGAGTTACAATGCAATGCCTCATAGGATTCTGTTCTGGCTGTTGTTCACTCATCTGTACTGAGGGAGTGCTGTACAAATGAGTGGAGAATGTTTATAAATAGGAAGCATGGCAGGGTTTGTGATGCAGAGTGACATCAACAGTGTACGTTCAATTCGACACTGGCTGAGGTTACTGCAAAGGACTCTCCTTCTCAACATCACCTCTCACCTGAGGCATGGTGACTCTCAGACTAAACCACCACCCATCGTCTCTCTCTCTCTCTCTCTCTCTGTCTCTAATGAGAGAGCAGCGCCGTGGTCCTCTAGAGTGACTCAGTCCCCATGGTGTCTTTACCTTGCTGATCGTAAATAAACCTGAGCTGCTAAACAAATTGCAAGGGCTTGCTCCTTCCTTGCATTTATAAAAACTAGTCAAAGTTGCTTTTTCAAATTCCCAACGGTTCAGGTGATCTAAATTAGATGGCTGCAGTGCAGAGAGTTTGAAGCTGCCTGTTGATAAGGCACAAAGTTTAAATGTGTCGACACGTTTACCAAATATATAATATTTTTGAAATTTTTTTTTTATTTTCAGGGAAAACATTTCCCACTTTTGCCCAAGACACAATCATACTCACCAACCAGACCAGAAGGGATTCAGAACGAAAACTGAATGCAAAGAACTCTCCTATTGAGTTCTGGATTTGGCAGCATCATTTCCACAGCATCTGCACCTTGCCCTGTATTAAAATTAAAATCCACAATGTTCTAAAATCAAGCCTAGATATTCGATAATCAATATGTTCAGAGATGTTATTGCACACCTCCAGCAGGACCTTAAACCTGGGTCTCCTGATCCAGAGTAGGAACATTACCAGTGCGCTCTCTACAATATCAATCCGACAGAAACCCCATTAATCAGAAGCTGCACTTCTTCGATGAACTCAGAAATTGGTGGAGATTTTTTGCAGGACATGCAAGTCAGTGTCCAAATGTAATCTATAACTATTGAACAATTGAACAAATACATGGAAATTCTGGTTGTCTCATCTGAAAACAGCCTCTCTAACTGAGTGAATCACGTCAAAAGTATTCACTGTCCAACCAATTATCAATCTAAAAATCAAAATACAACAGGATAAAAGCTGAAATGAAAGTATTTCTGTGGGTGTTTGGCAGAAGGGGTGGATTAAAACCATTCTTCATAAATGAAAAATTAATCAGACACAACTTAATTATCAACTCGGTGCTAGACACCAATTTGGGAATAATGGTAATTAACATGTGGGAGGCTGGGGGACAAAAAGGCACAGAATATGCTTTGTGAGTGTCCCCAGTAGTCCAGCAACTATTTTGAGCCTGGTGTTCCCAGCCTACGCTCTGTAAACATTGGCTTAGTCCCAACAATTTAAGGCAAATAACTTTAATTTAAAGTCAAGCTAACACTTGATACTGCCTTGCCAACTCAGAGTGGTGTCTTGATATTAAGGCTAAGGGCAGCCACCCACACTTCTGGAGCTATACATGAGATTTCACATCCAAACCAGGCTTCTTTAATTGCAAATAAAAACTGAAAGAACTGCGGATGCTGTAAATCAGGAACAAAAACAAAGTTGCTGGAAAAGTCTTTTTTTGTTCTTTAATTGCAATTCCTTTATTGCCCCATCTTTGCAGCTCAAATATTAATTCATCAATAAACATGACCATGAATAATTATGTCTCTGCAACATTATAAAATGCCTTTAAGAAGGCTCTCAGTGGAAAATAAGCTCTGAATATTCAATAAAAGCCAAAAGGATCGCAGACGCTGTAAATCAGGAACAAAAACAGAAGTTGCTGGAAAAGCTCAGCAGGTCTGGCAGCATCTGTGAAGGAAAAAATCAGAGTTAACGTTCTGGGTCTGTTGACTCTTCCTCAGAACTCGGGAGGGCTCACCGGACCCGAAATGTTAACTCTGCCTTTTTCTTCACAGATGCTGCCAGACCTGCTGAGCTTTTCCAGCAACTTCTGTTTTTGTCCCTGAATATTCAAGTCTTCCTAATAGTTGGATGGGAAATACCTTGGCACTCGGGGGTGGGGTTGGGGGGGCAGGAGGGATGCTCAGTGATCCTGAGGGTCATTAGTTAGTAACAATTAAGTCAGCAGTGGACTCAGTTAAAGTCACCTCAGTCCTCCCAGGCCATTGGGCTGCTCTCTCATTAGAGAGACATGGTTGGTGGTGGTTTAACCTGAGGGTCACCACACCTCAGGCCAGAGGACAGGTTGAGAAGGAGAGTCCTTTATGGTAACAAAGGGAGGCAGAGGCCCAGTGCTATTATTGCTAGACTATTAATCCAGAGACCCAGCTAATGTTCTGGGGACCTGGGTTTGAATCCAGCCATGACAGATGGTGGAATTTGAATTCAATAAAAATCTATAATTAAGAGTCTAATGATGACCATGAAATGGTTGTCGATTGTCAGGAAAAACCTGGAGGTGCTAGTGATCTTAAAATTCATAAAGGTAGATAAAATCCCAGGACCTGATCAGATGTTTCCCAGAACTTTGTGGGAAGCTAGAGATGTGATTGCTGGGCTCCTTGCTGAGATATTTGTATCAGCAACAACCACGGGAGTGGTACCAGAGGTTGGATGTTGGTTAATGTGGTGCCATTGTTAAAGAAAGGCTGTAAGAAGAAGCCAGGGCACTATAGATCAATGAGCCTTACATCAGTGGTGGGTATGTTGTTAGAGGGGATTCTGAGACACAGGATTTACATGCATTTGCAAAGGTAAGGACTGATTAGGGATAGTCAACATGGCTTTGTGCATGGGAAATTGTATCTCACTAACTTGATTGAGTTTTTTGAACAGATGAGAAAGAGGATTGACAAAGGCAGAGTGGTAAACGTTGCCTATGTGAACTTCAGGAAGGCATTTGACAAGCTTCTGCATGGCAGACTGGTTAGTAAGGTTAGATTACATGGGATCCATGGGAGCTTATCAATTGAATCCAAAATTGGTTTGAAGGTAGGAGACAGGGTGGTGGTGGAACGTTGTTTTTTGGACTGGAGGGGTGTGACCAGTGGCATGCTACAAGGATTAGTCATTCTGTCGTTTATGTAAATAATTTGGATGTGAATATAGGAGATGTGGTTAGTAAGTTTACAGATGACACCAAAATAGATGGTGTAGTGGACAGTGAAGAAGATTATCTCAGAGTACCTTGATCAGATGGGCCAATGTAGGCTGAGAATGACAGATGGAGGTTAATTTAGATAAATGTGAGGTGTTGCATTTTGCAAAGGCAAATTCGGACAGGACTTATACACTGAATGGTAAGGTCCTGGGGTGTGTTGCCAAACAAAGACAGCTAGAGTTGCAGGTGTATAGTTCCTTGAAAGCAAGTAGACAGGGTAGTGAAGAAGGCATTTGGCACATTTGCCTTTAATTTGTCAGTGCATTGAGTATAGGAGTTGGGAGGTCCTGTTGCAGATGTGCAGGACATTGGTGAGGCCACTTTTGGAATATTGTGTACAGTTCTGGTCACCCTTTTATAGGAAGGATGTTGTTAAACTTGAGAGGGTGCAGAAAAG